CTTTCTTTCTTTCTTTCTTTCCTTTTTTTCCTCCTTTTCTCTTTCTCTCTCTCTTTCTCTCTCTCTCTTTCTCTTTCGTCTTCTCGACCGCCGTCACGCATCAAGGCCTCGCGAGGCAGTAGTATATTATCGATTAATATTATTCAGTAACTATGCATCAGAGACGATCCATATTTTTTTTTTTTTTTTTTAATCGTTAACGCTATTTTTCTTACCGTCTTCCCGCCGTCGTCGCAGTAACTACATCTACATCTCCAAGCCCTTATTACACTACACTCCTGGTGTATCATTTGGATAATTCTTTCTCGATTATTTCGTCAAAATAATGTTCTTGCGCTTGCTCACGCTCCACGCGAGCGCGAGCATCTTCGCCCTCCCTCTCCCTGATCATCATCCTTTCTCTTTCTTTCTCGTTGTCCTTGTCGTTTCTCGCTCGTTTTTTGTTCGCTCAATGCACGGTTACACGCGTCTACGAACGAGTTCTCGACCGATCGAATAACGTAAACAGAGAAATGTGACCGGGCAAAGTGAGTGAAAAAAAACTGTGTACGGGTCGAAAGGATATAATGGAGAATGGCTAGTTATTGCACTCGTGTGGAGAAACGGTCGATCCTGGCCTGCTTCGTTTCGCTTTATTCGAAAGCGGTCGAAGGGATCGTTTTCGAAATCGTCGATCTAGACGATTCTCTCCCTTTAAAGCGCTATTGTCGGGGCTATTGTCAATCGGATTAAGATTGTGTAAAATGTATACACAAGTGTGTGTGTGTGTGTGATTGTGTGTGTATATATTCTGGATACGAGGATCGAGGATCTTCGCGATCGAGAGGGATGGTGTGCGCGAGCGATGATACGATCGAGAACTCGTCCTAGGAAAACGCGGAGAGAATGCAGTCAACGACAGAAAAAAAAAAAAAAAAAAATAATTATAATAATATTATAGAATTAAACCTACCGCTTTCTCGTTCGCGTCAGACGTTGCGCTTACTTACACTGTATAATATGAATTACGAGTATAGTATAGTATTGTATAGTATAGTATAGCATAATATAGTTTAGTTTAGTTTAGCTTGTCTCATAAATATTGTCTACAGTATGGAAAGTCGGGCAGCCGTGACGCGCGTATTTGGCGTAGGAATACGGGACTCGATGCCAGGTATTTCTTTTTTTTTTTTTTTTTTTTTTTTTTTT